CAAGAAACTGGTAACACTGGTGGCCTCTGGGAAGAAAAGGAAACAAGGATGGGAGAGAGACTTAAGTTTTCACTGAATACTCTTTTGTACTTTTTTTTTTATTGTGGTAACATTGGTTTATAGCATTATATAAATTTCAGGTGTACATCATTATAGGTTGATTTCTGTGTAGATTCCATCATGTTCACCACCCAAAGACTAATTACAATCCGTCGCAACACATGTGTGCCTTATCACCCCTTTCACCCTTCTTCCTCCCCGCTTCCCCTCTGGTGACCACCAATCCAGTCTCTGTCTCTCTGTGTTTGTCGTTGTTGTATCTTCTATTTACGAGAGAGAGCATACAGTATTTGACTTTCTCCCTCTGACTTATTTTGCTTAGCATAATACTCTCAAGGTTCATCCATATTGTGGCAAATGGCAAGATTTCATCTTTTTTTTTTTTTAAAGATTTTTTTATTTTTTACTTTTCCTCCCCAAAGCCCCCCAGTACATAGTTGTATATTCCTCGTTGTGGGTCCCTCCAGCTGTGGCATGTGGGATGCTGCCTCAGCGTGGTCTAATGAGCAGTGCCATGTCCGCACCCAGGATTCGAACCAACGAAACACTGGGCCGCCTGCAGCGGAGCGCACGAACTTAACCACTCGGCCATGGGGCCAGCCCCAAGATTTCATCTTTTTTATGGCTGAGTAGTATTCCTCTTTGGTACCTTTTTAGTTTTGTACTATATGCATCTATTAGATAATCAAATAAAAATAATTCATTGTTAGAATTATTCTGGGTCTGCTGTTTACTACATAAGTGATGTTGGGCCTTAGGCTTGTTTCCTTACTGTAAAATGCAGGTGACGATGCCTTCACTTCATAGGACTACAGGTATTAAACTGGGTAAGCCATAGAAATCACTTAGAATAATGCCTCCCTGCTAAGTAACCTATAACTGTTAGTTGCTGCTATTAATATTATCATCACTTGCTACTTTGTACGGTAATTGTACTAAATTAATGTAAAATTGCTAATTTGCGCTAATTAAAATAATGCTAAGTTGAGCTAAAATAATGTATATTTTGTACATTAGCACAGTGCCTGGTGAGTGTATGTGTGTTTAACACAGTGCAAATAAATAAATAAATATATGTGTGCATATATATAAATATTTTTAAAGACATTAGGATCATGTTCTACATACTGTTTTGTAACCTGTTCTTCTTATTACATCTTAAGTGTTTGTCCTGTAACATAAATTATTGGGAACGCTCATATTTCACAGTGATAATGGTGGACCAGCAGTGCGCTCTGGGAGAGAGATGAGCATTAGCAGTTGGTCGCAGTGGTGCAGGTGGAGTGTGGCAGTGCGGTCTCCTGTGTCTTTAGCATCATTAGGTGGTAGAATGCACCCAAGAACGAGCAGTCCAGTGTCACTTGCTGGCCCTGAGCTGTGGGACAGGCTACTTAAATTCGCTGAGCCTTCCTACCGGCAACATTCTCTTGAGGATTAGAAATAATTTAAAGTGACAAATCCTGGAAGAAGGAGCTGAACAAATGATTAATTGCTCGCAATGTTTTGAATGAGTCCAGTGGTGTCCATAATGAGGTGTGCGCGCAAAGATCCATTGGGGTCAAAAGAAAATGTTAGAACTTGCATTTCTATTTATTTTTAATCTCTTTTATAACCTGTATTTTTTGTTTATATTTTAAAATATATTAATACAGTAGCACCTTTTTATAATGATAAATAAAAATTTGCAATGCTCAGTTTCTTTTAACTGATAGGAGTATACAGGTTATTTTCATCTGCTGGCCAGTTGTGTGGTATAAATTAATTTCTCCTGTAGAGTAGATTGCTTTGACCTAACTTTGAACCTTTATCTCAGAAGGTAAGGGAGTAGTTTGCCAATTTAGTGCTGCACCATAGTTCTGGGACATCTCAAAAGGACTGCTCAAGGAATGATAATAATAGTAGAAGTAGTAGTAATCATCTCACGTATTTTTCAAAGCTTTCTAGTAACTCATAAATCATAACATGGACAAACTTAGGCAATAGAATAATTACTGATTTTCAAACGTTACTGCTTCGTATGTAATGACAAAAGCGTTAATCTTGGTAAAGTTTGGTGTACATTTACAAGGGAAACAGAAAGTTGAGGTTTTAGTAGAGCAGAAAAACACTAGCTTTAAAAGTGAAATCTGAAACCATGAAGAGAGGCTCACCTTCCCTAGTGATCAGGAATGGTTACTGAATGCAGACTGCCCATGCAAAGTAGAACCTTAACAGTGCCATTTCTTGCCCCTGACATTGGCGGAAATGTTGAGGTCTGGTGACTCCCCAGGGTTGGTGAGGCTGTGGGGACGCCCCGGTGCGGCGCGGGTGTGAATTGGCACAGCCGGTTTGGAGGACAGTTTGGCAATGTTTTCAGAGATAAAAATGCTCATGCCATTCACTGTCCCTTGATCTGCCCTAGGGACACACTCTTTCACAAAGAGGCACGTACAGGCGTGTTCATTGCAGCACTGCTGTTAGCAGCCACCAGTTGGAGACAGCCATCACTGGGGGAATGGTTAAAAAAACTGTGACTTTTAAAAAGTTTTAAATGTAATTCACATACCATAGACTTCACAGTTTTAAAGTGTACAATTTAGTGCGTTTTAGTGTATTCACAGGGTTGTGCAGCCATCACCACCAATTCTAGAACATTTTCATCACCCCAAAAAGAAGCCTCATCCCCTTAACTATCACCCCCAAACCCCTCCTTTCCAGCCCCAGGCAACCATTTCTGTCTCTATAGATTTGCCTTTTCTAGATCTTTCCTACAAATGGGTCATAAAATATGTGTCTTTTGTGTCTGGCTTCTTTCACTTAGTATGTTTTCAAGATTCATCCACATTGCAGCATGTGTCAGTGCTTCAGTCCTTTTTATTGCTGGGTAATAGTCCATCGTGTGGATAGACCACATTCTGTTTATCCATTTCTCAGTTGATGGGCATTTGGGTTGTTTCTGCCTTTGGGCTATCATGAATGATGCTGTTAGTGAACATCGGTGGCTAAGGTTCTGTATGAACATACGTTTTCAGTTCTCTCGGGTGGAATTGCTGGGTCACGTGGTAACTCTATTTTATTTTTTGAGGAATTGCCAAACTGTTTTCCCACAGCGACTACACTGTTTTACATTCCTACTAGCAATGTATGAGGATTCCAGTTTCTCTATATCCTTGCCAACACTTGGTTTCCATGTTTTATTATTGTAGCCATTCTAGTGGGTGTGAAGAGGTATCTCATTGTGGTTTTGATTTGCATTTCTGTAATGACTAATGATGTTGAGCATCTTTTCATGTGCTTGTTGGCCATTTGTATATCCTCTTTGGAGAAATATCTATTCAGGCTGTGGCATTTTTATGCCATGCTGTAGAACTATTTAAAGGATCGAGGCAGCTCTATGTGTGATAATCCCTGACTCGATCTCCAAGACGTAACAGTGAGCAAAATAGCAAGTAGTAGAATGACACATTACAGTTCCATAAATTTTGTATAGATACACACAGGTGTGTGCTGTGTGTATCTACACACCCCCACACCCAGTACTGTGTGGTTACATATAAATATGTGAGAGGATAGAGAAGGGTGTGATAGAATTTTCCCCAAACTTTTCAAGAAGGCTGGTTACCTTGGGGCGGGGAGAGAGAGTGAGGATGGGAATGGGAGTGGCATCTCACCAAAAGGGACTGTTGTCTTATTTATAACATTTTACAAAGTATTCATGAACAATTTGGTTAATAAAAAGTTGCGTAAAAACTCCTTAAACTGTATACACAATTTGAAGGGAGAAGGAAAGAGAAGCCTTTGGGAACTGGAGCTGGAGAGGGGTCAGAGTCAGTGCTTTCGTGCCGCCTGGCGAGTGGGTATGCAGCTTCTGTTCTGAAAACCTGGTCATTGACTCCCCTCGTGGCTCAGCTCTGTTTTCTCTTGTTCTCTTTTTCAAAGTAATTTTACTATTGTTTAATAGTATATGATAATTCAAATAGTATAGAGGTTTATAAAATTAGAATTAACTTGTCTCCTCTCTTTGCCTCAACCCTCCTCCCACAACAGTTAGCTTTAGTGCAGCTGCTTTTCCTAATACTGAAGTTCTGTGTTCCAGTATAATCTCCTCACTCCCACCCCAAGGTGTGTTTCCTCCGCTTCCTGTTGTTGATGGGGAAAGCGCCTTCCTCTGTAGGGAGAGGGGAGTCTCTGCGTTGAAGTGTCTGCGACAGTGGTCTTCAGGCTGGCTTTGTATCGCCCCTGCCAGAGGTCCTGACTTAGCGGGGGCTGCAGTTCTGCTTAGGTGTCAAGCTCCCGTGGTGATTCTGAAGAGCCAGCAGGGTTAAGAATCATTTCCCTAGAAAGTAAGAGAGCAGTCATAAATTGTACCCGTGATGCTGCTTCGAGAATTATTTTTGGTGGGCACTTTGAGAGAGTGATGAACCTGTCAGCTTTGTGGAAACATGCCTGAACTTAGATGGTCTGTTATGTTCCAGGAATTTCACACAATTTTTGCTTTAGGTTATTTTCGGCATTGGGGTTTTATCTCTAACTAAATACATAGAGCTGCCATCGAGGCTGAGAAAGTGATCTTGGACTGTGTTTTGAAAATGGTAGGAATAAGCGGTACAGGGCAATCTTAGCTTGTAAGCTTTCTTACAAAATGGGGGGACATAGCTCAAATGACAGGCATTAGTCCTCTGTGCCAAGCAGACTGTCCTTTGGTCTTGCTTTCTGAAGCTTCTCCCCTCTGGATTTTTGTAGACTTCATTACAGTATGTTTGCCTGCGATGCAGGTGAGAAGTTCCTGTGACTCATCAAACTTCACACTAATTTTTTCTTGTGTTTTCAGACAAAAAACTTGCAGAAATCCATAAAAGGCATTTAGAGACATAATAATATTCAATTTCTCTAGAATAATAAACCTGAGTGATCTTTCTCATGTCTTAAACTTATGTTAAGCTTTACGTTTTCTCTTCTAGGTATTCTCATGGGAGCCGTTATAAAAATTATAGAGTTTAAAAAACTGGCAAATTGGAAGGTAGGTTTGCCAACTGTTCATTTTTTAACATAATTACAATTTTTATCGGTTGTTCTTAATTTTAGTAACACTGATAGTTATGGTGGCTTTCTTATCATTACTGTCAGTGAAGTTTATGTTGTCCCATTAATTTTTTAATATTCTATTAGATTGGTGTTGATATCTTTACATGTAAGTTTTTTGAAAAAGCATAAATCTCATACTGTTTCAAGTTAACATGGGAGCACTCTGTGTCATGTTTTGCTATTTATTTGCATCTTTATAATCTTAGCTAATCTGCTGCATAGGGAGGAAAGGCTCTAATTAGCATTAAACATTAAACAATGTTTATTGCTCCCAATTCCGTTCTTACAGCTGAGGATAATAAAATGTGTTTGTCCAGTGCTGTGGAGCTTACAGAATGCCGTGTAAATGGTGTCGCATGTTGTCCTTATGACAGCTGCGCAATGTACACTGGGTCTCATCGTCACCTCGCTTTGACGGATGAAGAAAGTGAGGCTCAGAGAAGTTGGGACATGTCCAACGCCACAGAAGTAGAAAATGGCTGAGCTGAGTCATGTGTCCAGACCCTCTGGCCTGACGTATTCTGTATTTTCTTTGCCGTGCCCTGCTGTCCTCAGTTTGTGGATGTCCATACCCTTGTGTTTACACAATGGTCCTTAGAGCCTGAGCGTCTTCTTGTGGTATGAGGACTAATGTGACATTTGTAAACTTGAACATCCGTATTGAGCAGAGAGATTGTGTGTACAAAATTGACTTTGTGGAGGGAAATAAGGTCCATTTCAAAGTATTAAAGAATTGTATGATTAAAATTTTTCGTATTTGGGCCTCTCCTACTTTGCTGCAGCTCCTTGGTGCTAGGATTAATTTACCTGGTAAACTGTACAGTGTAAAATTTTCAAAAAAATCCACGTAGTTTGACCTAAATCACACTTTGAAACTGTTATAAATAATCTTCAGGAAATGTTGCATGTCTTAAATGAATTCTCAAGATGTCTGTTGAGCTCCTAATCTAGAACTCCCCTCGGCTGGGGCCAGGCATCCCCCTGCAGCACATTGTGAATGACGTCTCCACCTTCCTGCAGCTTGTTAAATTCAGCTCCCGTCCAGTGGCTCATCCTGGGTCGGGGGCTGCAGACTGGAACCCTCGCTCTACTCCCGGATATAGCCTGATGTGTAGATATCACCCGCTAACACATTTTGTTTGATTTGATTTAAAATCAATTGATCAAAATTGGAATTGATTCAAAAACAATAAAAAATATTTAGTTTGATTTAAAATTTTTATTAATCTATATAAAATTCTGGAAATTTCACATAAAAATCTGAACTTCTACCTTCTCTTGAAAAAAACAGAAGCTCTCGTAACAGCAGGCCCACATTCTGCCTGGCAGAGATGGGAGGCACTGAGCCGCAGCTGCTCCCCTGGCGACGCTGGTGACCCCTGCTCTCAGTACAGGAGGGGAGCTTATCTTTTACTTTAGTTTTATATGCTTCAGTGTTACTGAATTTATTTTTCAACAGATGTTACTTTTCAAGTTAAAATATAGTAATGTATTTAATAGTATAGACAAGCGACTCAAAGTTGGGTGATGAATGTAATTAAGTGCTTAAAGAGCCGTCCAGGCAACCAGTGCTTGACGCTGAAAGGGCGAGGTTTCTAGGCTGGGGTAGTCAGGGGAGGCTTCCTGGAGGAACAGGTGTTTGTGGGAAGCAGGACACCTGTATGGAAACTGGGTGCTGCAGGGAGCAGGGGGATAGGAAAAACAGTGAAGGAGCCTGGTGTTTTCTTTCCATGAGTTCTATTTTCAAACTGTCTCCCCAGGCCTGCCTTCTACCTGCCTTCATATACTTAGCATATTTCTTTAAATGAACTTGCTTTTTTGTTTATGTACATTTTTTTTTTTTTTTTAAAGATTTTATTTTTTCCTTTTTCTCCCCAAAGCCCCCCCGGTACATAGTTGTATATTCTTCGTTGTGGGTCCTTCTAGTTGTGGTATGTGGGACGCTGCCTCAGCGTGGTTGATGAGCAGTGTCATGTCCGCGCCCAGGATTCGAACCAACGAAACACTGGGCCGCCTGCAGCGGAGCGCGCGAACTTAACCACTCGGCCACGGGGCCAGCCCCTGTTTATGTACATTTTTTGTAGCCATTTTTTAAAAGTCTTTTGTGCTACAAATACATAACATAAAATTTATCATTTTAGCCACTTTTAAGCGTACAATTCAGTGGCATTAAATACATTCAGTGTTGTCTAATCATTAGCACTGTCTCTTTCCAGAACTTTTTCATCATCCCTAACGGAAACTTCCCGTTAAACAAACCTCCCCATCCTCCCCTCCTCACTTTCCAGTCTACTTTCTATCTTTTTTAGTATTTTCTATCTTTTTTCAGTAGCCCCTCTTCTACTTTCTGTCTCTTTGACTTTACCTGTTCTAAGCACTTCATATAAGTGAACTCATACAATATTTGTCCTTTTGTGTCTGGCTTATTTTACTTAGTGTGGTGTTTTCAAGGTTCATCCTCATTGTAGCATGTGTCAGAATTTCCTTCCTTTCCATGGCTGAAGCATACTCCATTGTAGGTATATACTACACTTTGTTTATCCACTCCTCTGTTGATGGACCCTGGGGTTGTTTCCACCTTTTGGCTATTGTGAATAATGCTGCTGTGAACATTGGTATACCGTATACATTTATTTTAAAGGAAACGTCGTAATACTGTTTCAGGTGGGAAACCAATATTGTTTTTTGGGATTTTTTTTGAGGAAGATTAGCCCTGAGCTAACTGCTGCCAATCCTCCTCTTTTTTTGCTGAGGAAGACTGGCCCTGAGCTAACATCCCTGCCCATCTTCCTCTACTTTATATGTGGGATGCCTGCCACAGCATGGCTTTTGCCAAGCAGTGCCATGTCCGTACCCAGGATCCAAACCAGCGAACCCCAGGCCGCTGAGAAGCGGAACATGCGAACTTAACTGCTGCACCATTGGACCGGCCCCTCAATATTGTTTCTATAAATAAATATGATAAAAACAAAGTGGTACAGATGCCTGCTGAAACCTCTCGGGTCAGGCCTGTTCTGTCAGAAAGGGAGGTCAGCACAGTGGAGAGACGCTTTACACATGTGGCACCAGACTGAGGTGTCTTTGACTTAATTGGGATTGAAAAAGAGTCAGAAGGGGCTGACTCTCCCAGTCTGTGGGTCAGCAGTATTTGACACACCCTGCTCAAGTACCACCTAGAATGGTACTTGAGAGATGTTGCTGAACGGAACCTGGGACCTTTCTGTAATGCTAGTCACAGTAAGGTAATGTATGCATTTCCTGTGGCTTCTGTAACAAATGACCATGAACTGGGTGGCTGAAAACAACAGAGATCGATTCTGTCATCGTTCTAGAGGCCAGAAATCTGAAATCAAGGTGTTGGCTGGGCGTGCTCCCTCCAGGGAGCGAATCCAGGCTGTCGGGGAGAATCCTCATTGCTTCTTCCAGCTTGGGTGGTCCCAGGCGTCCCGTGGCTGTGGCAGCATCACTGCTATCTCTGCCTCAGTCTGTCTTCACATGGACTTCTTCTCTGTGTCTCTGTGTCCTTTTCTGTCTCTTAAAAGGACACTCTCATTGAGTTTAGTGCCCGCCCTAATCCAGTATATGATCTCATCTGGTTTCTTCCCTTAATTACATCTGCGAAGACCCTGTTTACAAATAAGGTCACATTTTGAGGTTCTAGGTGGACCTGAATTGGAGCTGCAGGACATTGCAACCTACTGCAGGTGGGTTCTTCTTTCTCCCAGAGGAGTTTAGTCTCTGAAACTCCAAAAGGATGTACAGTGCCCCCACTGCACAGATCCTGAGAATAGATGGCCCCACAAAACGCAGAGATTGGCCCTTTTCTTTTCACATGGTCCCAGTCTGAGTCATGAGTTTGTTGTACAGATAGTTATTTTAAGACTGCATAAGGCATTTTCAGACCGCATCATTTGCTTCTATTTTGAGCCTTTTTTGAATGTTATTTTGGTCTGTATGGTAACAGCTGTACATTTGTAAGAATACATTTAGTCATTTCTTTGAACAGGGATTTTGACAAAAAATCAAACTGTCAAGATTGTGGCCTAGAAATTTTCATGTGGAAAAGGGCCTCATTTTGTGGTATTTAGTAGACTGTGTATTACATGTAGTCATTTTGGGTTTGATGACCAATATATATTTTCCTTAAATCCACCAATAATTAGATATATTAATATAGAAAATTAAATTCTTATTTCAGCTCCCCAAAGATGGCCATATTCTGGAAATACCTTTCATAATGGTACTTAATGTTTGAAAGTACCAGAAGCATGGCAGGGGGCTCACTTTGTTTATAGCTATGTCCCAAGTCGCATGGACAGTGAGGTGGGGACTGTTTCATTACAGTCAGATTTGGGAAAATGGCGAGTTGTCTGTGACGGGCAGGGAAGAGGGAGGGCCACGTGCAACATGTGTGGGTTTGCCCTTCCTGTCAGTGGGTTGTTTGAGGGCTCCCCGTTATCTCCTTCCCAGAGGACTCCAATTCAAGGACTTGTTTTTGAAAGTGTTTTATTTGAAGTGAAATGTTTTCTATATTAATGTTAATTTTCTTTCCTTAGTAAAGAATAAAAGCGTACTACTGTCTGTCTGGAAGCAGTTCATTCTATTTCTTTTGCTGATCACCCTCTAAAATCACTTGTCCCGCATTTTTAAATACAGGGGGATTTTTTTGGTTTGTTTTTCTTTTTAAATACAGGGGGATTTTTTGGTTTGTTTTTCTTTTTCGGTCTCTCCTCCTGCTTGGTTTAATTATCAGGTCATCATTTAAACGTATGTTTCCACTGGGCCAGGCCCTGAGAGAATTATTACTTTGGCTCTTGAATGATGGATTTATTTCTTAATTACACAAATTCCATGTCTCTGAAAATACCCACTTTACATTTACAGGAAGAAGAAATGTTTCGTCCAAATATGTTTTTCCTCCTGTTGCTTCCGCCTATTATATTTGAGTCAGGATATTCATTACACAAGGTGAGACTCAGACACACATTAGTGTTCTTGGTCTGGATGGCTTCCCATGTTTGTAAGGCATGTTCCTTCAAAGCGGGGCTGTTAATTTGGCAGCGGAGGCTCTGTGTGAACATCTTGGGGGGTGTGGTAGAAGCTGCCCTGTGCTGCCTGAGGGGAGCAAACGTGGTTTCAAGCAGTGCGGCTTATTAAGCTCGTGTTTTTCGTAGAGGAGTACTTTGCTTAGGAAGTTGGCCAAAGTGATGTTAAGTGGTGCACGGACAACACTTTGACTCCTCTTACTGAACACAGACTGACACATGTTAAGAAAACAGACTATGTCCTGGGGCAACGGGGACATGTGCCCCAGACGTATGAATTCTCTCGGCTCACCACATGGGGCCTTTCTCCCTTCTTAGGCCCGTCCGTCCTTCAGTGTCTCCCCTCTCAGTGCCCTTCCCTCGGCCTCAGCTCCCAGCTGATGTTCCCCTGATCCCCAAGCCTCAATCTCTTCCCTCCCTCTCCCTGGCCCAGCTTCTCCTTCCCAGGCTGGGGTCCTATCCTTTCCTCTAGTCTTCCAGCTCCTTCTGGCCCATTCTTGGCCCCCCAGCTCGGCCTTGGAGAGCAGCGTCTCTGGCCCCTGCCGAGTTCCCTTCTTTGCCCTGGCATTCCTGGTCTCTGTCCTCCCACTTCCACTGGGACTCTGTCTGCTTGGGCAGGAGCTTCTTACTTTTAAGCCAGTTTATGTGCGTGCATGGGTTTTTTCCTTGTCTATGAGTTTTCTTTAAATATAAATACATTTGTTTTAAAATAAAAAGGTGACTCAACTTAAAATACAAGTAATACAACGGTATTTAATACTGTTGTGTTAATAGTAATTTAATAATACATTATTTTGTGAATGTGATAAAAATGTTGAAGGTTGGAAGGAGTAAGATTAGGCCTGCCCTTGGAGAGAGGAAAGAGCGTGAACTTTGGAGCCCGAGAGCCCTGGGTCTAATCATGCGCTGCCTCCTGTGGGTTCCTTTTGAGTAGGTAGAAATTAAAAACAAAAGGCAAAACCCCAAAAACCCTACCTCCCAGCTTGTTTTGACGTTTACACTAGATGAAAGAATGTATGCAAAGTACCGCCCACCACATTAAATAAATGGTAGCACTTCTTGTTATTAATATTATTGTATTATTATTAATAGCAACTTATTAAACTTGAGAATTAAATTTGTCAAGAGAATTTTCATAAAAAACATACATATTAAATTTTTAATTTTCCACCTGGGTACTAAAGCAAAAATATCCTAAGATGTTCAGTCTAGAGTTTTTAAAAAGTTATTATTTTATTGTACTATCCCCCAAAAAAGGTGAAAAGGAAGTTTAATGTAAAAAAAACTTCCCAAATCTTATAAACCATTACTGACATCAGATAGTTGTTAAAAAGAAAACAAGCGAGAAGGAATGGAAAGTCAATGTCTTTTACTCCTTCATTTTGTAAGCAAATCTTAAAAGAGCTTTGAGCAGATTATGAACATATTTCAAAACAAAGCTAAGGGTATTGATTTGATTTGGACTTTAAAACATGACACTTTGATTGTTATATTAAAGCATGTAAAGTTTTTATTTTCTAATTTTTTGGAGGGAGGGGAAATAAACTTGTTCAAAATTTGAGGAAAATAATAATTTCTTAGAAATACATTTCTTTAAAGATGGCCTTCCAGCAGAAAATGTGACAATTTATGTGAAAGGGACCAATAAGAGGTGGAAATTTGAATTCAGAGACTTCTGTCCACTTCCTACCCTCCCCCAAAGAAGACAGGCGGTCGACTTTGAATGTTTTATTTTAATAGTGATGTGCTGCATAAGAATGTTGTGGTCAACAATGGACCGCATATACAATGGTGGTCCCATAAGATCAGTACCATGTAGCCTACCTGTGTAGTAGGCTGCACCATCTAGGTTTTGTAAGTGATGTTTGCACGACGACAAAATCACCTAAGAACACATTTTTCAAAATATATCCCCATTGTTAAGTGATGCATGACTATGTTGTTGTATTTGCTGATGTAAATTTGGAGTTGGGATAAAAATTTCAATAAGATTATCATCAGTTGATATACATTAGGTGGGCATCTATTTTCCTTAAATTGTTAATATCGTATAGAGAATAGAACATTAATTATGTCAGAAAAACAGGTAAATTTGCTTTATGTGCAAAAGGAAGTTCTTGTAGTGTGGTAACTTGAATTTGGGTAAATTTTCAATATCCAGATTAATATTAACCAACTACATAGATTAGATCAGAATTAGATTCTTATAAACAGACGAAGGCTTAATCTGTTTTTAAATAGCAAAATAAAGTAGCTCTCTGCAAAGAGAGACTCATAGATGAAAGCCTTTTATTTAGAAAAAACAATTCAGTGTATTTGCCTTGAGTTATTTTAAAGTTCTTTGTGTGCTAAAGATTAATATGCCAAACAAAGTAATTGACTGTCAGATTTGGGGCAGCCAAATCAAAATTGCAACAAATGAAGCAGAGAAGCTTCCTGAAGGAGATAGGCTTAGTGGAGCTGTCACTGCTGAGCTGAGGACGCTCTTTTGAAGTGAGCTTTAAAGCATCAGTTCCTGTTGTCTCTGGCTTGACCATTTCTGAGCAAAAAGATGAGATTCCTTGTCCACACCCACAATCAGACATCATTAAGGTTGCTGGGTGTTGTTTCTAAGTGGAGTCCACAGGAGCCTAATAAATAACATAATTTTCTTAATTTTATGGAAATTCAAAAGATAATACCATGCTACTTGGATTCAAATATTTTCCTTTAAATGCTGTGAAGTATGGATGAAAATATATTTTATCTGTCATTTGATGATGATACTGATAGAGTGAAATAAAATTGTTTAAAAGACCTGGATAGCAAGAGGGAGTTTCTGATAGTATTACCTATTATCTTGACATTCTTTGTAATGATATGCCTTTTCTTAATTAAAGGAAAAATGATATTGTGTAAACTTTGGCCTTTGATCAGACATGAAGCAGAGTTAATTTCTTCAGTACCTATTCATTAGGCATCTTCCGGCCGACAGGCATTGTCAGTGACTGTTGTACAAAAACAGATGTGGCCATTTCCCTGTTGAGCCTGCAGCCTAGTGGGAAAGACAGACGTCAGTCAGATAGTTACCTAAATAAATGTAAAACTTCAGCCATGTCAAGTGCTACCAGGAGAGGGTCGTTGTGCTTTGAGAGCATAAAGTAGGATCTGACCTGGCTCAGGGATCAGAGAAGGCGTCCCTCAGGAAAAGTCAAAATGTCCTGAGATCTTAGGGTGATTAGAGTTCACCAGGCAAAGAGGAGGGAAGAGTGGTCCAAGCCCAGGAGCACAAAGTGTGCACAGAACAAAAAGCCATCTGTGTGACTGGACCAGAGGACATGGCGAGTTAGAGGCCGTCACAGGCTAAACCATCCAGGTTCTGGTTGGGTTTTAGCTGCATTTCGAGTGCAGGTTGGGGTCAGAGTGAAGGCAGCACAGTCAGATTTGTCTTTTGCAAAGATCATTCTGGAAGCCCTTGGAGAGTGGGGGGCAAGGGGTCAGGAATGGTTGAGACTGGTTAGAAGCTATTGCAGTGGTACAGGGTAGAGATGATGGCAGCTTGGACAAGGGCAGTGGAGAGGGGGATGGAGAGAAGCTGGGAGATGTGAGTGACGTGGCGGGGTGAAAGCCAGAGGACGTGGGTCTGCCGTCAGATGTGGAGGTGAGGGAAGACTCCCAGGCTTCCAGCTTGCCAAACGGGGTGGGTGACGGTCCTCTTTGCATAAAATCAAGCGTGTGAGGAGGGCAGGTGTCGGGGTCTGCCCCTCCACTGCCTGAACCAGCCTTTCTAATCATTTCTCTCATTTCTGTTCTTTCAAACAGGGTAACTTCTTTCAAAATATTGGTTCCATCACCCTATTTGCTGTTTTTGGTACAGCAATTTCTGCTTTTGTAGTAGGTGGAGGAATTTATTTTCTGGGTCAGGTAAGAAAAACATCTTTGAAAAACTTTGAAAATCTTACATTCTTAGAGCTAGTGCAGGGAGGTGGGGTGGGGACTCCTCATGGGGCCTGGGTTTTACGCTCAAGATAGAAGCTCTGCGGGAAGGAAATCCAGATACGAGGCACGGTAAAGGCATGCTGACGTTGTTTCTAAGTGTCTCAGAGAGCTTTGGTGTCTGGAACTGAGTGAATCTTTTTCATAATCCCCAAAAGCATTTCATCTTATTTGCAAACCAATATTGTCTTAAGTTGGAATACCTAAAAGTAAAGCGGTAAAAAACAAAAAAAAAAACAAAAAGAAAAAAAGAAAAACAAAAAAAAAGTAAAGCAGTAAAGCTCTTCAACTTGTAACAGTATCAGTTGTGTTGTCAGATAGACTGAATCAGAGTTAAATGCTGCTTTTTTAATAAAAATTTGCATTTTAAAAGTCAGAAATGATCCTGAATGTGTTCACTCAATTCTAAGCCGTCCACCTGTAGAGTCATATACTCTGAATTTTCTACCATTGCTAAACTAATTTCCAGTGTGATCAATTGGGTGTTTTATAGTTTGAGTTCAAATTAATTTGAGTTTATTTAAGCCAAACCTACCTAGGAAGGTAATACCTGTAGTTGTGCGTTATGCACGTCTATGCATGTGGCAGTTCTTTTCCTTTGGTGTTAGCTGCAGAAGGTTTTCCTGCCCCGATTCTGTAAACTATGACTGAGTTTCGGGCAGATTCCTCCTTTGTATGTCAGAAGTCTTTTCTTCTTCGGATAGCTGTAGAGCAAAGCCCATTCCATCTGATGTCACCTTTAGCTGCCTCAGGAGCACCAGAATAAATCTGCCTGTCATGCACCCTTCCTTGCTTAGCTTCTAGTGTCAAATGGGAAAACTTTAGAGAAGGAAACTGTAGTTAATTTGGCTTGAAAAATGTGGCATTCTTTTCCATACTTTTGTTGTATGATGATCAAGTGCACGCTTAAACTAAAACTTAGGAGTTTCCCCTATTTTTCGAGTGGTTTGGGGATTGAAGATTAATGTCCTTGTTTGTTTGTAATAAAGCAGTAGTGGACATTTTAATCTTCTTGGCTGTTCTCCAGGGGTTTTTTTTGTATCTGTGTGTTTGTGTGTTTTATTTTACAGGCTGATGTAATCTCTAAACTCAACATGACAGACAGGTAAAGCTTTCCTACCATAACACCCGTGTGACCGCTTTTCTCGGGGAAGTTCTCTCCTCATTGATTCCTGGGCGTGATTCTTCTTTGTCCTGTCTCTCTTTTTGTTTTGCTGATGATTTCTGTTGTAGAATCTGTTCTGAATTAATTTGTGCCTCTAAAGTGAATGAAAATTATGTTAAGGAATTTTGAAGATCTCTAATCAGAGCACTGCCAATTGAAAGGACTGGTTTAGTTAAGCTTTAGAGGGAATAACTCTGGTCACTTAACTAGCCCCGCCTACACCACAGGCTGCACCAGTGTCCTTTTATTATTGAGTTGTCTCCAGCTAATTTCTGAGTCTTTTCAGTGGCCATAATGATGAGTTAATTTCTCGCTAGATTAGGGACGGAGGGAGGAGTGAGGTATGAATCTTTCCTCTAAGCTTCCCATCAAGCCTGAGGTGGGGCTGGCTGGGTGGAGGAAGCAGGCAGGGCCTAGGGCTCTATCGTGGATGTTCTCCGTCTGAAGCTACTCCAGTGAGTCCTCAGAGCTGCCATCTAGGAGCCAGTCCAGGAGTTTCCATAATCGGCTTAGCGAGAATAACCTAGGCAGCTGTCTCTGGGAAGGTACCAGATCTAGAGCTGAAAAAGTGCACAGGCAGACATGGCCTGGTTTCCCTCTGTGAGGAGTGCAGCAAGTCTGCCGTCTTGCTCTGTTTCTACATCCACCATCAGTGCTTGCTTCTGTCCTGTGGTGTGGCTGGGGAGCTGGCCTCCCATTGGGCCAGCCAGAGCTTTCAGCCTTTAGCAGCAACTTGGGGACCAGAAACTTGGAGCCCTTTTCATGGGAAATGTGCCTCTGATAACCTCTGGACTGCTTTGAGGACAATCTCATTCCCCTCTTCCCTGAGGACATAAATTTCAGAGCTTTTGTTGCAAGATAGCCTTGATGTATAAACAAGTAGCAAAAGTCACATTCCTATTCCATGAGGAGCTGGAAATTAAGCAGAACTGATGCCCTGCGTTTTGTAGGTAGTCACATGCTGCATAGCATTTCAGTTAACGACGGACTGTGCACACGACAGTGGTCCCCTAAGGTTAGTACCGTATAGCCTAGGTGTGTAGTAGGCTATACCATCTAGGTTTGTGTAAGTGCACTATGATGTTGAAATCGCTTAATGACACGTTTCTCAGAATGTATCCCATCATTAAGCGGCACATGACTGTATTTTGCAAGTGAAAAAAAATGCCCAAAACACAGCCTTCATTGTAAAGGAATGTCAGCCTTCAAGCCTTCAGCCTATTTGGGGGCAGCTGGTTAGAGATACAGAAAATGCTTGATAAATTTCTTGTGAAATTGAATTGAACCTGTGGTTGGGATGTTCACAGGGAGAGGAGTCAAAGAATTTCCCCTTGGACGAGCAGACGAAGAACCGAGTAGAGTTTTCTCTCTCTACCTGCAGACATTTCCCTTCCTGTTAGAAAGTGCCTGTCCCACAGAAGGGGACCCACAGGGGGGGACTGCTCTGGAGAAAATTAGCCAGCAGTTGCAAACCCACACAACTGCAGGGCCTGGCAGAGCGCTTAACAAAGGGAAGCTGGCCAGATGTGTGTCCAGAGGTGGGGACAGTGGGGAGCCAGAGAGCACACCCTGTCTGAAGGGACAGCTACTTGTCAGCTCCACCTAGTAATTACCATTATGGGCCCAGAGTTACTAGGTGTTTAAGAAATTCTTTTCAAAAGAGGCCAAGTTTCTAGATTTTAATAGGGAATTTTCTAGTTTTCAGATAGTGACAATTTATTCAACTTTTCAAAACACCATGCAGATCAAACATGAGACACATAGGCCTCTGCGCTTATAGGAAACATAAAAATAACTTTGTTGCACAGGTTTTATTTTGGTGATATTTTTGCTGGAGAGAGATTTACTCATAGACACGCCCTGAATTGTTTCACTGTCCCAGTCTATTTCCTTTTTGTTTTCTTGGTGTTGCTATCTTTTGAGATAATGGAATAAAGAAAAGACATTTTTAAGTTAAACTTCTAGTGTCTGGCCTTTTAAAGAATTGGGTCATGAAGGTGCAAAGTGGAGCAACTGATGGCATGGTGGAATGACCCCTTGGATTCAGAGCTCTCGATGATTCAGTCAGTGCATGTCTCAGACTTTTCATATTCACTGTCAGAAATACTCTGCCCCAACTTAGATTCCCAGCCAAAGCTAAATGTGTTACATGATTTATGCAAAGCATTTCCCTCCAACTTTTTATTGTGACAGTTTCAAACATACAGAAAAGGTGAGGCATCGTACAGTGGACGCCCCTGTGACCACCACCTCCTTTCTACAATTACCTTTTCACTGTATTTGCTTTAACACAGCTCTTTCCATCTCTCCCTCCCTCTATCTGTTCATCATCTTCTGGTTCCTGTTCTCTGATTTCCAGTTCAGGATGCCACGGGGACTTTGACAAAGAACATTAGGCAGACCTCTTTCAGTGCAACTGAAACCTAACACAAACTAGTTTTAGCAAGAAAGAAGTTTGTTAGTTCATCGAACTGAAGTGTCCCCGGGGTGATGGCTTCTGGTATGACAGCCTCCAGGGGCCCACAATGGCAGGATTCTCTCCTCTCACTGTCGCAGCTCAGGTCTTCCCTGATTCGTTTCCTCCTCGGGCATGCTCACTTCGTGTGGCAGCACTGATGGCTCTTAGTTCACCTCACCCTCGCTTCAGCCATCCCTGACAAAAGGGCCACCTCACTCCTGATGACCTGGTAAATGCCTGTTGATGGCCCTCATTGACCGAGCTTGGGTCCTCTGCTCACTTCTAGAGCCCCACGCAACCCCATGGATGGAGAGAGGGGGAGGTGCGGCTCCCCAAAGGAAAATTGGGGTGCCGTTACCAAAACCAGGGGAGTGAGTGTGGAGCAGAGAGAACTGTGGCTGTCCATTCTGCTGCACTGGACGTGAGAATGGAGGGAGGGGCCAGCTGAGCCACACACAGTCAGCACACAACACACCAAAGGCTCCCAGCTTCGCCTCCCTTGCCTCTCCCTCCCTTTCAGGACACACTTTTTAGGTGTTCTTCCTTCGAGGCCCCCTTGATGTTGCCATGGGTGATGAGAGTGGGAATAAAAGAAGAGGAGAGAGAAGAAGCTCTGTGTCTGGGTTGTAGCACAAGAGCCTCAAGGCCAGCTGCCAACAGGACAGGGCCTTCCAGGTCGACAGCCATTTAGTGCCGTTGCCTTTCCTTCCCTCCCCCGTCCCTCCCTCCTGCCTGTCTTCCACAGATATCTCTGGGCCATCCCAGTCCAGATCCTGGGAATACACCCATGGCTAAAACAGTGCCCACCCCCTTGGCACTCACAGTGAGGGCAAGAGGCAGGTAACGTCACAGCTCATAGGGCATGTGACAACCTCTATGAGGATGGGGAAAGTCTGGGAACTGGTCTAAGCTAAGACCATCCTTTGGGGTCTGATCCTCAGCTTGGGGTTTGGAGGCTGCCCCTGAGGTGAGCAGGCTCTCTGCATGAATTTACATTAAGCAAACTCACAGGGAGCTGCCATGGAAACCAGTGTGCCAGATTACTGATTTACGGAGAGAACTGTTGACTGGCAAGGTAGCCAGGTATGTGCTCTGCCGGCACGCCTCTCCCTGAGCCTGGGGTCAAATGAGCATCGAGGGCTGCAGGTGATGACAGAGGGGACCAAGCATGCTCCCGTCGCCAGGCCAAGTGGCACCCTCTCCCCTCCCAGACTGCAGGCTTGATACGGGCCAGAAACAGAGGCGGATAGTCTCTGGCTTATGTCCCCACGCAGACCTGTCCCCTTGGGGCTCCGTGTTCTGTCATGTGTTGTGGAAGAGGGCAGACGTAACCATTCTGCTGAAGTAGAAAGAAAGTGCCAGGCATAGCAGTTGGAAGGAATAGAAGGCTTGCAAGAATGCTGAGGGGGAAAGAAGACAAATGGGATGAGAGACAAATCACCCAGACTCCTTAGGTGGCCCACAGGCCCACAGGGGATGAGGCCCTGCCTCCCCACCAGCCTCTAATGTCTCCCATTTGCCCTCACCGCACTACTGCCACACTCACCTTTTTGTTTCTCAGGCAACCAAGCTTGCTCCCACCTCAGAGGTAGCTTGCTGTTGCCACTGCCCCCGGATCTTGGCCTGGCCGCCGGCTTCTTGTCATGTAGGTCCTTGTTCAGGTGTGTCCTCTCTTCCTGACCACCCACTCTAAGTGGCCCCTACCCCGCCCACAAGGTCACTCTTTCTCTTGTCACCCTAATTTCCTGGGTAATGCTTGCCATTTTCAAAATTGGTCTTAGTCTCTGGATATTGCTATATCAAGTGTAGTTGTTAGGAGCACCGACTCTGAGCCAAATGGCCTGCGGTTGAATCCTGGCTCTGCTACTTGTTAGCTGTCTGACCTTGGACAAGTTACTTAACCTCATTGTCCCTCAGTTTTGCCTGTGTAATCGGGGCACTAGTAGTACCATCTCATACGGTTGCTGTGTGGATTGTCGGGTACTCTCTAAAGTGCTTAGCAGAGTGCCTGGGACATGGTAAGTGGTAAGTGCCACATTAATGTTTGCTATTATTGTTTGCCGCAGTGCCTGAAACATGTTAGGCAATTACTACCTGTTTGTTGGAGGTAATGAGACCTCCGTGGGTGTTGTCAGTGAGAGCCGTGGCCTGGGGAGGCAGCGCTGGCGCTGGTCTCTGCCACCCAAGCTGCCCATGCCTTGAACCACACTGGAGTTGCTTCTGGCTTTGGTACTTTCTTACACGTTGCAAATCTGGAATGGAGGCTGAGCTCAGTCACAGATAGTGGCTAGGGGCAAAGCAGAGGTCAGACCCAGGAGCTCATGGGCCATGTGGGGAAGGCCCCTGGGCCATCATGGTTCCAGCTGCTCTGACTAAAAACCTTGGGAAGTGTGTAATGTATTTAAGCAAAAGTCTTCCATCCATCATTGGTCAAAAGAAAGTCTCGGTACTTACAGTGGAAAACCGGGCCATTGCTAACAACTCCTTTTAGAGTGGGCCTTTCACTGCTCTACCCACAGAGTCAATTAGCAGATATTGTAAGTAGAAAAAGATACACCATCTTCTGTAGTTGCTTCAGCTACCGTGTGTCCTATTATGTTATATCAAATACAGTCCTTGGCTTTAATGTTTTCCTGTGGGGACCAAGCGATAAGCATTACAGAACACCCCTTCCTTTTGTCGTCTTTACAGTTTTGCGTTTGGCTCCCTAATTTCTGCTGTTGATCCCGTAGCTACTATTGCTATTTTCAATGCACTTCATGTGGACCCAGTGCTCAACATGCTGGTTTTTGGAGAGAGTATTCTCAACGATGCAGTCTCCATTGTCCTGACCAAGTAAGTGTGCTTTCTTCAAGTGGTGGAACTAAAGGTCCCTGTGACAAAGGGACAAATATTTCCATGCAGCTGCCTTTACGGTTGCTTGTCCTCTGGGTAATTGGGTCACCTGCTTCTCCATCTCTCCGTTTTGACAAGGCTTGACATGCCCCAAGAATATCATCAAGGCCCGGGGGTGATTAGGAGAGGAGAGTCCACCTTTTATGAGCTGCCTTTAAGCAGTGGTTTTGAGCCCAGCTTCTCATCAGTGTCACTGGGGATGCTAATGAAATGTCGTATTCCCAGGCCCACCCTCAGAGCTTCTGATTCAGTTGGTCTGGGGTGAGTCCCAAGAACTTAGGTTTTTACTAAGTTCCCCAGATGATGATGGAGCAGCCACTCGAGGGATCAGTGTCGGGGCAGCATTGTTGCAGATGAAAGCACTAGACAGAGGTCCCGCTCTCCCACTCAGGAGCTGTTGCATGTCACCTTTGTTTTCACAGCTGTAAAATAAGGTAGTGATACTAACAGGCCTCCCACCTTGAGATGCCATTGTGTGAAAGCTACTTGGAAACTGCTCATCTTTTCCAAATGTTCATTGGTATTACTGCCTAGTTGAGAGGATCTGAAAAATTAAAGATGACTCATAAAATATCAAGAGGTCATTGGGAGGGGCCGGCCCCGTGGCCGAGTGGGTAAGTTCACGTGCTCCACTTCGGCAGCCCAGGCTTTCACTGGTTGGGATCCCCGGCGTGGGCCTAGTACCACTCATCGAGCCATGCTGAGGTGGCATCCCACATGGAACCAGAAGGACCTACAACTAGAATATACAGCTATGTACTGGGGGGCTTTGGAAAGAAGAAGGAAGAAAAAAGAAGATTGGCAACAGATGTTAGCTCAGGTGCCAGTCCTTTAAAAACAGTCATTGGGAAAATGGAATGAATTTAAGATAATCTCAAATGCATTTATCTGCTGCAGGCGTGTTCCCTCAAACTCTGCGTTTTGTGCTGTTCATTAGCTTATGTGGGCAGGAGACCCAAACAGTTTTGCCAAAGAACAGAGAAGGCATAGACAGTCAAAGCAGTTGGAGAAAAGATCCTGGATAGTGTATCCGAGATGAGCTAAGAGAATTTTAGGGGCCAATCTGTGTTCTGTTAGAGAACAGAATTTCCGCTATCTGAATACTGACTTGTTTCCTTTTTGTGGAGTTTCTTGCTAAGCATAACCACTCCATGGTAGGTAGCATTTTCTTAACAGACTTCATTCAGAATTCTTGTGTTGGCCTAAAACAACAGTTTATGGTGGAAAGAGCCCAGGGTTTGGAGTCAGGCAGACTTGGCTTCAAGTCCTGCTGATGCCACTCATAGCTGTGTGATCCTGTGCCAGCTCCTTCACGGCTCTGAGCCACAGGCTTCTCAGCAGTAAAGTGAGGGTGAGAATACATCTGCCTCGGATTGGATTTGAGGGTTGAAGAGTTACATGTGATGCTGTGTGGAAAGCATCTGACATCAGTTAACACGACAGCCTTTCCTCTTCTGCTTCCGCCCCTGGTTATTGTTTCACTCTGTTTGCCATTTTTATCCTAATTTTACAGAAAGAATTTACCAAATGCTGCTTAATTGCAAGAGATGCTCAGCAGACAAACAAAACAAAACAAACTGTAAAATTTTTATTACTCAAAAAGTAATACGTATATTCTTCATATAAAATTTAGAAAACACAAGCAAAAAAGAAAGAAAAATTACATGGACTGGTACTACTCAGAGATAATTATGGTTAACAATTTGGTAGAAGTATACGTATATTTTATTTAGATGGGCTTGTATGCCATATACTGTATTGTGACTTTTCCATTGGACAGAGTTTGTAAACTAATCTTCTATAACGTCATTTTACTGGTTACAGAGTGTTCCTTTCTATGGATTTACTGTGACCTATTTAACCAGCTCCCTATTTTTGACTTTTTCATGTTTCTCTTGGCAAAAGTTTCTATAACTCTATTAGGAAATTATCAGACACCATGCTGTAAGACCTTTAAGAAATCTGATGGCAATATTTTTTCTTATTTGAGATCTACTCTGAAAGCTTCTTAGCTTTCTGGTTTTGACTTTTGTCTCATGTCCTGGCTGCACGTATTGAACATTTGTGATAAAGAATTTTACTGAAATTGGAGATGACATCATGTGTTATTTTTCTACATTAGGATCTAAACTCAACTTCTTTGTCTCTAATTTATTTGTTTATTTTTTAATCTGTTAGAAGTAGGATCTTTTCTGAGCTTTTCCAGGTCTCTTTGCCACAAAAAGGCCAAAGATTATATAAGATTTTCTTTTTAAGATGAGAAGTGATGGCATCATTATAAGTAGCCAAAAGTTCTTCCTGGAAAAGTGCTTTTGAAGGCCAAGATCACCTATGATGACAGTTCCTCAAATTGGATCTGTGGACCACAGGCATCTGTAGTGTCCGGCCTCCGCCTCCGACAGGCTAGGGTGGCAGTCACTGACCTGAGCCACATCCAGCCTCACTGACTCTCTAGACGTGCTAAAGGCTGGTCGCCCGCCATCAGCATTTGGTGAGGGGCCTCTGTGTGCCAGATGCTACTCGGAGACCAGTTGTACTTGAGCTCAGTCCAAGGTGGGAGAAAGATGCTCAGAGAGAAGTGAACACAGTGCCTTGGGTATGAAGGCAAAACAACCACTGTGAAGGGTTTGAGGAAGCTTTCTCAGACAAGGTGTCATTTTCAGAGAGAAGAGGGAGAGAGGGGGCATGGTAAGCCTGCCTTTTTTTTTTTTGGCGGTACAGGAGGGGGCTATTATCAGCTTTTTTTGGTTATAAGGTAGAATCATGTCTTGTTTTTAAGGGGTATACTTCATAAATGACCATTTTTTAATGTTTCCACTTTCATAAATGCCAGAAAGCTAAGTATCTTCTGTTTCTTCATTAACTTTAAGTTATTTTTATCTTTGATTTGTTACTATGACAGTTTATTCTCATAATTGCTGTAGAGGAAATCTTTTATTCTCTCCAGCTATAGCTTAAGCTCGTGAAATGGATCCTAAAGAAGCACTGTCATTTATTCTTTAAGGTATAAGAACCATGACTTGAAAAAATAAAACGTGGACAGTTACCAGACCTGAAAGAGTCTGAATTCTACTTTCATTTATCCCGAGTTCAGAAACCGTTGGCCTCACCCTGGGTCTGCTATTAATCTGTGGTGTGACCTCCCCCAGGTAGTCACTCTCTTTGGGCCTCAGCCTCCCCTGTGTAAAAAGAAAGCAGTGACACCAATGTTGTACCAGCTGTGGCAGTGGGGTGGGGGCAGGACACCATGCACGTGGCCCACAGATCCATTTGGGAACTGTAGGTGATCTTAGTCTTCAGACGCACTTTCCCAATAAGAACCTTGTTGGCTCCGGCGCTCCCCAAGGTGAGCTGTTAACCTGTGACCTGCTGGGAAGGAAAGGGCATGGGGGAGATTGCACATTCAGGTGAGTCTGGAAAACTTTTGTGTGAAAAGCGCTTTCTTTTTTGCAGGACATCTCAGAACCTTTATTATGTTGTATTGTGCTGTGAATGGCCATGAAAGGTTTCCTAAGGTTATTTGATCAAGCTATCCTTTTATCGGAGATTATCCTGCCTTAAAATCATACCAGTTTGTGAAACGCTGATTAAAAATGAAACTGAGGGGCCAGCCCAGTGGCACAGTGGTTAAGTTTGCATGCTCTGCTTCAGCAGCCGGGAGTTCAGATCTCAGGAGCAGACCTACCCACTGTTTATCAAGCCATGCTGTGGCAGGTGTCCCACATATAAAACAGATGTTAGCTCAGGGCCAATCTTCCTCAGCAAAAAGAGGAGGATTGGCAGCAGATGTTAGCTTAGGGGTAAATCTTCCTCAAAAAAAAAAAACAATAAAGCTGAATATTACTCTTAAGTATTCTTTGTTTCGTTTACTGATTCAGCAAAAATTGATTGTGACCTTTGTGTGCTGGGCTCTGCCTCAGGCCCTGGACATATGGCAGTGAACAAGGTGGACACAGGCCTGGGCCTCATGGAAGGAGGCGTTAGTTTTCACGTGCTGTGGTGGAGAAAGCAGGCACAGGAGAGCCTGTAAATGAGCTGACCTGTGGAAAGGGTCAGGGCAGGTGTCCCTGAGGAAATAACACTGAGCTTGGGTTCTGAGGAACAAACCAGGGAGCTAGCTGGAGCCAGGGAAGAATGAAAGATGACCTACAGGGAGGTGCCAGGGACAATGAGGCCTGCTCTGAATGAGGAGGAGATGGGACGG